ATATTAATCCATCAGGTGTGTAAAAACTACAGGTTATGAACTCTTTTTTAAAATACAAAAATATGAAATTATCGGTTATCTTATGGTATCAGCCAGGAGAAGCAGGTCATTATCGGTTATCTTATCTGCAAAAAAAATCCATATCGTGCATCCCGACTCACAAATATTGCTTTTTTAGCTAGAAATATAGTAACTTAGATTGAGCAATTAAATGCTGAAAATGCTGACGATTTTTGGGAACAAGTCTAAATTGATTGCTGCACTGACACTGTCATTCTTAGTAGCATTTTCAAGCATGTTTACCTTTTGCCTTTACCTTTAGCTTTTCTAGCAGAAGAATGGGATTAACTGACATTATAAAGATGATTTTAGGAAAATTGCCCACTGTTGCCTCATCAACACACAAACACTGTCATTGCCTTTGTAATGGCAAGATACTGCTAAGTGCTAAGTGCTAGCATGTACGGTAGGGTAGAGGGTCTGGGGACGACATGTTTGGCTTAGTGCTAACTGAAAGGCAGCACAGAAGGACTATATAACTGCAAATATTGCTGCTTTCATTAAGTAATTAATCACTTATTGTTTTCACTACAGCGGCACAATCTTCCAGAGCAGAACTGGGCCTCCCCAGGAGGGCTTTCAGGGGAGGATCACTGAATGGAAATAAAACAAATATTACACTAGCTATTAGATTAGTTATCAAAAAGAGATATAGAGTAGCATAAATGTGTGTGAAAGAGATAGAGCAGTTTGGGGGAACTGTATGTTTTTCCCACTTTACCAGAGTTAGAAACTACTGCTCTAGGACAAACCTTTCTTTTTGTATTTGGCAATATTAGGCTATCTTGGCTCATTTTCTGAGTGTCTATGGGTTAGGGTTAGGGTTCACCTTTTTCCGAGCTTTGTCTGAGAGGAGGCCCACTGTCTCAGACTTTGAAAACCTCTGGTATAAAGCCAAATTCAAGTTAATCACTACAGATCAAATAATTTACTCCTCTGTCTGCACCGTAAGAAATAACTCTAAATAACTATAACTCTTCAGGGAGCATCCAAACCTTGACAAGTATTGTTTTTGTCTGTTCCACAGTGATAAATTAAATAAGCATCTAGGCTATAATCTAAAAACAAAATGTTCACATTATAGTTGTGATTTTATACAAAACCGCCATAATCCCTTTCTCGTGTTCATGTTAAATTTGATTACATCACACAGTGCAAGAGGTACAGTTATATATGGAGACATGAGGACACATGTTATATAACGCAGCACTGTGACTGTATGGAAGCAGGAACACAGTAAAAGCTAACTGATAAACCTAACCTTTCAAAGCCACAGATGCTCGATGTGACCGATCGCCATGTGTACCTGCATCACCTCCATCTGTCTCCATGCCACTCAGGTCCTCTGAGTTCAACTCATTTTCTCTTTCATTTTCTCACTTTATCCCATCATCTCTCTCATTTTTTCACACTGTCTGTCACACTCTGCTTCCCTGCCTCTCTTACTTTATTTTGGCCCTTTTGTTTTGTTCATATTCCCCCAGTGCTGGCAAACTGCAGCACCCGCTGTAAAGTGTGACGATGGGAGCTCACGGCACCCTGCGTGACCTCGAAGCCCTGCTCTCCCTCCCTCAAGCACCCTACTGTACTTTCCAAGAAGGGAGCAGAGAGATCCATGTCTAAACAGTGGAAAGAATAAAAGGCAGTTAATGCAACCTCATTACGTAAATGCGCTCTGCTCTTATGAGCTCTGACCACAGCTGAAAACGACACGAGCAAACTATGGTCAATAGCGTGCTGTGGGACTGTGTTTACATTTGACATCAAACTGCGTTCACAGAGAGGACAACTGCGGCCCACTAGAAGGCAAGGAGAAGGCAACTGAAAGGTGAAACAATGAAGGAGGAGGAATAGGTACCTCTGCTGGAAGTAAACAAGACTTTTTGAACGATGTGTGCCTGTTTCCACAAAAGACACTCAACAACTCACCTATGACGCAGAAAGGCTTCCTGGCAAAGCGGAGTCGTCCCTGCCACCCTCTGTAGCGACAGCAGCATCCTGCCGACCAGATACGGACGATGTACTCCAATCCAAACACCACAATCATCACAAACTCCTGTCCAAGAAGACAGAAACAATAGTTGTTTTGGTGGTGTGTTGACAGAGGAATCATGATGTATTAGTCATTGCTTATCAGGAGATTAATTACATCCTCACATGTCATTATACATCATCAATGCAATGTTTTTGTGATTAAAATGCACGCCAGGTTGACAAAGTATCTGATAATGACCCTGACAGCACATTCGGCTTCCATTTGATAATAACACTGATGCAATTAGCACAGTGCAATTTGTGAAATGGTGGTTACTGCTGTGGGGGCAATCATGTGCAGTAAATGCTCGGCTGTACAAAAAAAATCAGACCTCTCCTTTAGTTAGAGGCTTTTGAGAAACACACATTGAGTCACACTAAGAGCATTTTAAAAAGCATTTTTGCCCACCAGTAGCTCTGACTTTCTTTCTGAAGGCAACTCTGAACTCCATTTAGTGTTATTAGTACTTCAAGCCAGTAAAGTTCTTAGTTTGAGGGCAGGCACTTAAACCAATGAGCCATTGAAGTCTATAGGTGTGCTATTTATTACAGAGGAGGTGCTCTTCGTTATCCTCCTTCAGTGCTTCACATCTCCCCTCTCAACTGTTAACTGTTGCTAAGGTTTTCAATTTACATTCTTCCATTTTCTTCAATACGTGCACTTCTCAGCCTTGGCTACTGGAAACAAGTAAAGCATTCAGCATTTCCCCAACAGAATTATATTCCTGGCACTGTGGAGACGGCTCTTTAGACCTCTGTGTAGGCAAAAACATTTTTACAGAAAAATATGATTCAAGTCATTGTATGAGTAAAATCTGAATATTTGGAGCATTTTACAGACTATGACCTGACAAAGCTGAGACCAAAGGAAAATTTTTCATGGTGTTTTATGTTTTTTAGCTAATCACACTGGAAGGAAGGGGTCCAACATTCTGCCCCCAGAAACCTAACCATATTGCATCATATTGACTTGTATTATGTAGAACAAGGTCAAATCGTAATGACATGGTGGACTCTGTGATTATACACTAATGAAAACATAGCTACCTGTTTAAAGGGATTTTAAAGATAAGAGTGAGAGCATTTTACAGCTGATACAAGTAAGAAAATATCTAAAAATATTGTATTGCGATATTTTGTTTTGTTATATTTTATTGATCCTCAAAAATACTAATTACTATACTAATACTAATGTAAACCCCCATTGGCTAGATAGCAGTGAACGTAAACTGAGGGCTATGATGTTGGATTTTACTTTGAAAATTGCAGATCCTAGTGTTCTGGTTGCATAAAAAATAAAGATTATCGCAACATATGACAATATATTGAATTGTAACCTCCTGTATCGTGATACGTATTGTGTTTCCAGATTCTTGCCGATACACTGCCCTAGTTGAAACCTGAACCTAGTGAGTGTGCTCTCATGTAAAAAATTTGTAAATGAGACAATTTAAACATATTTAACCCTTTATCGGGCAATATGGCATATTTTGGTGTTTCTTTTTTTATAGGTGATATACTAATATTAACACATTCACTTGTTTACGGCTTTCTTTCACAAATAAATTCAAAGTTGGGCATTGATCTTTCGATTTGTTCACAATATAACATAAATTAATTCATAGATATATTGATGGGTAAAGGCATGATTTCTTCTGCAGCGCTGTACACTGCTCAGCTCCTTCTATTGGAAGAGGAGGACCTGCTGTGCCACAGATTGTTGTTCTGCTAGCCCACCTAGACATCACTGACTTTGATTTTCAGCCTAAAAGTGAATCTTTTTCTAAAAATCAAAAAAGAAAAAATGTCTTCTTATATCTTCCAATAACACTCCAGGGTTTCAATCAGTGCCCTATAAAGGGTTAAACACTTCTGTACTGCAATTTCTTGTTATTGGTGTATTGTCCTGGCCAGTTTATTGTTGAGGCTCTAGTGATTTACTAGCATTTTGTTGATATAAAATTCCTTTTGGCTGATGGTTGTCCAGTTTCTCACCAGGATGAGAAGACAGTAGGAGGAGAAGTCCTGATGAGCGGGGATGGTTGAGAACACAGAGAGGACCAGGCAGCTGAAGACCAAGATGAACCTGAACAACAGAAACGAAGGAGAGAATCGTAAATACAACATGCACGCACAATTTGACAGGATGACATCAATGATCTGACCTCTGAAACCACCACACTGACCAGCAGAGCAAATCTCAAATTCCAAAACATTATTTCCACTGCTCACAGATATGCTGTTGATAATAGAAATGCACACTAAAGTGGAGCTGTCCGCTGTATTTTCCTCTGCAACAAACTCTTGAACCCATTCTGGCACTGTAGGAGGAGCAGAACACGAACAACCTGGCAGCACAATCACAGAACTTATTTCCTCTCTGCAGTGAACCATGAGGCCGACTATTATTCAATTTCCTGAGATATCAAGTTAATCATGCTTGTTTGTGTAACATGATTTGCAAGAAACAAGCAGTGAAACTGCGGCTATTGGAAAACAAGCAACATCCGACCATTTCCACACTCCGACTGTCGCTCCCTCGGCCAGGAAACCGTAGCCTTCCATCTTCATAACCATAACATGTTTTTTTTCCATCGCATAAATCTTCCGAAAACACATCGTTGTCTGAAATACGAGTGCGGGGGTTTAGAGTTACGGTGGCTCTTGATGCTAAACGGTGAGAGCACATCTGTGTTTTATCATCTCAGATCTCCTTTTAAGCCTGCCGGAGAAAGACCGGGTGACATTCTGTGTGTGTACTTTTCATCGTTGTCCAAGGAGAGGCTTAAGTAAAGCAGACACGGCTTTCTTTTTCAGTCATGTCCTGCTTCATGTTTGTACAGTTACACGTTAATAATTCAAACTGGAGACCTTCCGCTGAGCTCTGACCTTTAGGCCTCTACATTTAAAAAAAAAAAAAACATAAATGGAGACTTCACACTCAGGCCACAGTGGGTTTTTAGAACTTGTTGCTGAAAACAGCTGCCTGCCAACACTATGAGAGTGGTGACAGTGAACCACAACAGTAAAATAGTTCTGTTTGATTTGCCACACCTGTGGTTATTGTTAAAGATGCTAAGACCATCTTAAACTGAGTTCTATTTGAAAACAGTTTGTAAATTGCTGGGGGCAGGAAATGTGCTCCATCTATCAGAACTCGTATGTGTTTACATCTGTTTACATAAAACTGATTTCTGATTCATCAAACATACCCGGGACCAACTGTTCCGCTGTTTTTTATTCCATTACATGACAAATGAGCATGCACACTTATTATGAGCAATGTGTGAATGCATCAGTTTTCCAAATTTTATCTGGTATTTAGACAAACAACCCTCGTTGTATGTGTAAAGAAGAGAACACACATCACAAATGAGTTTACTGACATGAAAATACTACTTTTTTACAACAGGATTTCTTCAGTCAGTGCAATGATATGTCTCTACTTACCAACTATTAGTGCATGGCTATTTCAATTCTTAAAAAGCTTTTCCCCAATATAATCCATTTCCGCTTGCAAAAATATTCATTATTGGCAATATGACATCTGCTCTACCCATAAAGCAGTTTGTCCATCTCCACAGCTGTATTGAAGTAGAGACTGGGGACTCCTAACTACCAGCCCCTTGGTGCCAAATTGACCCCAGATTATCACAGAGTTGAAAGGAAATCTTTCAAACTTGAAAATTGGGGGCATCAGGATAACATCCAGTGTTTGAAAGGCGCCTGTGTGAAAATGGTGGGTGTGCAGAGCGGGTCAGTGTCCCATACCCTACAGTACAGTGCAGGACTGTGCTGTTCTGACCCCGGTCGGGCCCTCTTTGACATCCAGAAAGACAAAATTGAGGTCAAGATTTTCCACAGCCACAAGGATGGTTATGTCATTATTTCTCGACCGTTAGGTTCTCCTCCTGCTCCGTCACACGGCTCAGATAGCGCCTGGAGGTTCTGAGTGAAATAAAAGCATAAAGTATCAAAAGTTTGAGGTTTGCTCTGTTGACATTTCGAAAGATTTGAATAATGTGATTCGGATTGGATGAAAACATCTAGTGACAAGCATTGTGGTGCTGTCAGCTGAAAAGCAAGCTCCTTGTCACCGGCACACCTACGCCTCTCACACTTACAAGGTTGTCAGACCGAAAATTACAGAGTGACAATCAACTCCCCTCATCCATAGAGTTTCCATTTTGAATATATTTACTTTAAGAGAGAGTAGAGAACTACTGAAAAGCACGCTGACAGTGTCATTAAGCTCTCAACTAAGTTCACTAATTAATCCCACAATTTGGTGTTCTTGGCTGGCCTTGGTCCCTGTGTGTGATGATGCCGCACGCTCATAGGCGGCAGAATTAATCTGGAGTGTCTCGCTCTCCTCCTCCAGCAGAGTGATCGCTCTTAACCTTCCAAACAGCAGCAGCTAAAAATGAAGCTGGCCTACACAAATGCACAAATAAACGCACCCTCGCAAGATAGAGACATCTGTCCTTCCACCCAATCCCCTCTTTCAAACGCACACTCCACCCCTCCTCCACTCACATATAAACAGAAAGAGACCCAGAACCACTGAACGAGCGGTAAGTGCTCTGATTTGCATAATTTAATTGATTTGTTTGGAAAATGGGTTGCAAGGCTAATGACTAACGTCCTTAAACTGCAACGGGTGGATAAAAACAGATATACAGCATCTCTGTCATCCTGCACACAGAGGTGGCGCCAGAGAGGAGGCTAGAAGTGGCACAGCCCCCCCCCCGAATCTGATCAGGCCCCCTTCCACAGTCAGAAGGTGATACATGGTTGGCTTGTTATTATCAGAACCTCTATATGAAGTTACTGGTAACATTTCTTGTTAGAAAGTCAATCAAACGACCCCAAAGAGACGCAAAACGACCACAAAGAGACACCCAAATGACCATAAAGAGATGCAAAACCAAAATCTGTCTGGCGTTGTTCACATGTCCAGGGCCTAGTTGTTTCATAATTATACATGGCTGTAGGCTTTTGAGATATAAATAGCAGCTATTTATTAATATTATTTCATGAATATTTAAAGTCATGTATTACACTGAATAAACAGTGTAACTATTAATAATCTACACTTTATTCTTGCCCGGACTTTAAATTTGAGTCGTAACACATTTCCCAAGTGTGCCCCTTTTCTTTGAATCTGTACTATAGTCTGGCTTGTCTGTCAGGTGAAGGACTTCTTTTTATTTCCCAAATCAGTGGTTCTCAACTGGTCTCACCTTGGGACACATTTTGTCATTAACTCGCGATCCACTTTTGCAGAATTCCGACCAAGCAAATATACTTTTCAAATAGGCTAGTAAACACATATATAATGTCATCATGACCTTTTGTAACACAGTATACCACTTTTTCATCCCTGCATTCAGGGAGAGAGTGTCTTGCATACACATCAACACATAAACACACACTCCCAAGGTTGGCATTACACACGCACAAGGAGCAGTCATACGGCTAGTATACACACATATACAATGGCATCTTTATGAAAAGACATGAAAAACACACATATTTTCATCCCTGCAATCAGAGCACATTAACAGCTCAACTGCATGCTCCAAATTCTTATGAATATGAATAAAATTAACATCATAACTCCATAACTGCATTTACACACAAAATAAGTAGGGCTGTTTTCAATTAACAGACATTGTGGAAGCTTTTATGTCAAAATAAAAGTCAGACATCAGAGAATTTAAAATATGTATTTTTTTTACCAGATATATACTGTGGACAGAGAAATTCAGTGCAACCTTTACACCCACAGACTGACACTGAGTATAACGTGTAAAGAAGCATTACTCTGACGACTCCTGGTCATGTGTTAATTGGGTCACAGCGCATTAATAGACTAATGATGCCATAATGATCGGATCTGATTGGGTTTCTTATGACGGATTATACCAGAAGAAGCTCTCACTCACATGACATCTAGATATGTCCTCTGATGCTGTCCATGGTCCTGAAAACAAATCCTGCTCCTGCCTTTTGATTGCACCCGTGGGTTGTTGATTCATCTTTGAGTTTTGCCTTCAAGGGGCACCATCGCGGTATTTAGTTCGGGTTGATATGAAAGCAGATATTTAATTGTCTACGACTTTCTCGCTAATAACTATCTTTCCCTATTACCCTGCCATTTCAACTGAGCCATGTCTCTGTTTCAAACCACATAATACTAACCTTGCCAGTTAGTATACCAGAAGGGAATGCACTCTACCAGGTTGAAAAGGAAGTAGCATAAGAAGTTCACCAACAGATGTTAATCAATCTTTTGCTTTGAAAAACTGCAGCCAGTTAAGAAGGAAGTTTTTTTTAAGACTTTACTTTGTGTTTTCTTAGCTGTTCGTGGAGGTGATTCACCCACAACCACACCTGCTGGCAATTTTTTAAGCATTTTTCTTTCATGCTTTTCAACCCGGACACTCACAAAACTCAAATTATAGCTATTTGTATCACTTTTTCTTGTGAACACTTGGGCTGCAACTAGTAATTATTCTCATTATCGATCAATTACAGTAAAGGGGCATAAATTTGTCTGGCAGAGGGTACTGTTGTCCTGATGGGGCGTCCTAAAACCTCACCTGGTAGAGCTGGAGCCCCATTTACAATCCAGTCCTTGCTGTGTATCATCCCCTCTCTCTCTCCCCCCTTTCCTGTCTCTCTTCAGCTCACACTATCTATTAAAGGCAATAAAAGCTAAAAAAAGAAGGTGATAACAAGGGACAATTTTTTCACTCTACTGATTAAATAAAGCTGAGCCGAGGATCAGGGGAAGTGTGTGTCACCTTAATGTCAGCTCTGCGTTATCCTTAGTAACTTTATGGGGAGGCGAGGATACAAAGTGAAACCTAAAACCTAATAAAAGACTTGTTTGGGCTCATAAAAGTAGCGGTGTCTGTCAGCCTTTCGAATGTCTGTCTGTTTTGTTAGTACACTGACTGAGTGTGCTATTGTTCACTTGTACAGGATCTGTATGAATTGTATTATTAGATTATTGAATGGTTTTTGCAATACATTTCTGTTGTTATGAGAGTCCTTTTTCTGAGATTTTCATGTTTTAGC